GGCATAACTGTAATCCTGATCTAATATCAAAGAATAATAAGTGTTGTAAATATGAACGATAAACAAGTATAGTAGCTTAATGAATCAAAAGTTATAGTTATTAAAAAAAGATATGGTAACAACATGTGTGTACATGGTAACAAAACAACAGTAAATAAATATTAGATGTTACCAAATCTTGCTACCAAGTCGTGTGTAAATTTACTACTGCGTAAATAGAAAATTACAATAATAACAAATAATATTTTGTGTAGTCATCATATTGCAACCTGCCATGTTCTGTTGTACATTGATGCTTAGGTGTTTCAGCAATCGTGGAAGTTCCTTTTTAACCCTTCGTCTGTAAACGGTTTTTTAGCACCGTTAGCTTCCGTCTGTAAAGGTGGGTCTTTCGGGTCCGGCCGTTTTTTCATCCTGTTAATGCACTCAAAAAATTTTATAAACAATTCATGACAATGTTCGAAACCTCAACTTGATAAATCGTTCATAAAACTATCGAAAAATTTATTTTTCCATACATATTTTTTTATGCAAATGAAGAAATTATTTGCCTAAACAGTTGTAGTGCGGACAGGAAATACCCAGGTTTACAGAGGAAGGGTTAAGAAAGTTCCACAAATCCATTGTGGATTTTCTGCATTCCAATAAAAAATGATCATTGTCTATTAGTACCTCCATTAATACTACTTACTATACGCATTCTTTTCATATACTGTACACTCCCTTCAGTAGAAAGCTGCATAACAACTTCAATGAAACAAGACGGAATCGTATTTCGGCAAAAAAAACATTTTATATACAAGTGTCCGGAAATGACGTGTACAACGGAAAACCACAAGTACCTTGACCAAAAATATGATGATTTAACTCAACTTGTCTATATACAAAATTGCTTAGTTTAGTCGCTAGAGGGTTTTGAAAATTCATGATGAATTCAAGTCAAGTTTAAGCGACAAACTGTTTTTGTTTTTAAAATTAATTATACCCAGCCATCACTCATTCGCGCTTGTAGGAATTTAGAAAATATTTTTTTATGGCTAAACCGTTCATCCAACAGAAAATTTAATATTTATTTGAAAACTTTCTAAATTAAAGTAACTATTCAGAAAATGGTAGTGTTTGTACAGGGGGTTAAAAAGATATGGATGCATAATTTATATATAGTATGTATATATAGAATGACAGCATGCAAATATCTGCTTGAACCAGAGAATTTTCGTTTTCGATCCTGGATTGCCGTTCAGGTAGTAATCACCTACCCATTAGTAGGACATGTTGGAGCAGTAGTGGACATATTGCTTAAACCTGTAAATGGTAGTTCTAGCCACTTTCTCTATATGCAGAACCATTAGAGATAGGCCAAGCAGAACATCCATTGCTAGAGTTGGCGTTGTGCTTATCGCACGTGTTTTAACATAGTAGTTAGGTTAGTTTTGTTTAGAAATGTCAATCAACTCTGACAAAATAATTATGTAAGGTTAGTTTTCTTTTTTAAATGTCAATCATCCCCCAGAGGAATGTTAGGATAGGTCATTTTTGTTTTGAAACCCCAAATATAGTGCGACGGAATGTTAGGATAGGTCAGTTTTCTTTTGAAACCCCAATTATAGCGCGAAGGAATGTTATGATAGGTCAGTTTTCTTTTGAAACCTCAATTATAGCGTTAAGAAATGTTAGGATAGGCCAGTTTTGTTTCTGCCTGTCAATCATCATTTATGGATAACGAATTTGAGACACCTGTATATAGAAATTGCACCATGTGATCAAATATTTACAAATTTCACCGATTTCTATAAGGTTGGAACATTTTAGTTTGTATATCTGTACCTAAGGGGTAAAGGATCATAACTCCAGTTTTTGTCAATATCGAGTTAACTATTATAAAACTTATTATAAGAGCATTATAAAGCTTTAAACCCTGTTTTCTAAAAAACCTTAAATAATGGAGATATAATCCTTTACCTCTAAGGTACAGATATATTGTTTTCAAATATATAAAAACATTGACTCTTGTTCAAGAGAAAAGCACTTTTTTTTTAATTAGTATGGTGAGTAAGATTGTTGAGATTAGAAATGATTTCAATGTAAGGTAATGATATTGATTTCAAATAGTCTGTAAATACTAGTTATTTACATCAAAGTCTGGAAAGTTGTCTATTGCAGGCGAGGAACATTTCTCGTAGCAGAGTATCCTTAAGTTCCGAGCCTAGCAAGTCAACATTCCTCTACAAAGTGTCTGGCGGTCTTCTTCACTTTCCACTACCCTGTCTTCCCTTTTTTGCCAACCATAGTATCACCCGTCTAGTATCCTGCATTCTTTGTAGATGTCCCCACTAACTGAGATACATCTTTTCTATGAAATCTTACATTTAACTTCTTAATTATACATTTAACTCTTTTTTTCCTTATGTCATCATTCCTAATCTTGTCTCTCTTCATCACCCCCTTCAAAAAAAAATATATACCTTTCTAATTAACAGGTGAATTTTAATACTTAGGAGTACAAGTTTTTGAAGGCATCAGCATTTCTGCCGTTTTTTAGTAAGGGCGTTTCTCGTATATATTGCGCAAACATTTTTTAGTATGTCCAAACTTGCGCGCGGCACGCCTTAACAGATGAGGACAAGAAATATAATTTTTTATATAAAGATTCAAGACTTCAAAATCGTTAACGGTATCAATTTAATAATGTTTTTATAATTTATTTGTGTATAATAAATACAATTCTTAATAACAATTAATTATAAAATAGAACGAAAATCACATAAACATTCGAATTAATCGCAATTGAAACAAGATTAGGTTTCTTATTTCAATTGCGATTTATTCACAACTAGAGATGCAATGAATATTGGGATACAAATCAAGCATCCGACAAGTTCGGGCGTTTCATTTCTAGTTCCTAACATGATATCGAATATTTAGTTGAACAAAATTTAAAAACACAAATCCAGTGTTTATAATTTCAAGTCTTAATAGTTATTTACGTATTAAGGTGTTAAAGCCATTCGTTTTTTAACAACATAGCTTGTTGTTAAGCTATTGGAAAAGTTACCATAAAAATATTAACAATATCTACTATTAAAAACCATAAAATGATTAATGAAATCAAGTTAAATAAAATGTAATCATTAGAAAAAACATTTATTTTAAAGTTAAAAGTGGGATTTTGTTGTCTATATCCGATGGTGTCTAAATACTTATACTAATTTTAATGGAAACTACTTCCATCCGTTTATTCTGTTCAAAAGCTTCCAGGTGTGAGTTTAAAACATGAAGTCTCAGTGACAATTTGCAACTCATTTTTGGTATAAGTTTTGATTCACAAATGATTTCACAAACTGTTTCATTAAGCCATGTTGAAACTACTTCTATTACTCCACATGATTACTACACATGGAATCTCAAACTTTCTACAATATCTAATCTACAATATGTGTTTTCAAAACATTTTGCGGCGAACCTGAAGAATGCCGCCTTTCAGTTGGGTTGTCCAATTGGTCCCCACTTTAGATAAATGTCAAAAAATATCTATTTTGTTCTAATTCTTAATACAATCGGAAATGATGTGTGGTACATATTTGTAGCTATAGTTTATGAATTTTTAAGAAACAATAAAACCGAGGACTGTTCTAAGAAGTTGATCAAATACTATCAAAAAAATTTGAATCTGCTTTAAACTCGTAATTGGAAGCTTTTAACTGAAGAAGTGGGGTAAACATGTCCATAAGGATATAAAAGAATACGAAGTCAACCCTAAAATCATTTTTGTTTTCAGCTTATTAAGAATGAGTTTTGCTGTATTGGTAAAAAGTTGCAGTTTAATGGCAATATCAAAAACCTTTCAGGGAAACAATATTAGTAGCAACATTTTTGTTGAATCGTGCAGGAAACACAAAAAGATAAAAACGGAAAAGTAAGTTTTAGTGATGGTTTGATAGTTTTGGTGATAAAACATAGCAAAGAAAAAATTATGCAATCTGAAAGCCACTTTTTCACAAAATTGCTATTAATGAACATCCTTGTAGTGTTCGTAGCTTCAGAAAAAAAAATTCGTTGCAAACTGTAACCTTTCAGAGTCCTTGTCAAAACTTGTAGAGGTACAATTTCATCAACTTATATCGATCTAACAAATAATAATTTGTTGAAAACATACGTGTAATAGAGGTTCACCTAAAACAATAATAAAAGCTTAAATGCAATCCTGACAACAATAACGACTTAGGAAATTCAGTGTATAAGGTTTCAGGTTTACTAATCGTGCTCTACCAGATAAGCCCTTCATTATTATGCTGGTCCAGAGTTGGAAGACATTTTAAAATACTATTTTAATTTATTTTCCATAAAATCTAGCTACTACTATGAGTAAGCTCTTTTTCAGCAACTTATGATTTTATGCTAGGATTACTTGTGACATACTTACATGGTGCCCTGAATCTGTAACCAATAATGATTCCTGGATAAGTTAAGTACCTCAATATCGTCCACTATTTCCTATGGAAAATTTCATGCCACCATTCATGACAAACATTAAAATTTGAAAATTACACATATCGTAGTTTTTCATTCCTTTTTCTTCATCTCAATAAAAATTGCATTTTATCTTCTTGTGACTGATAGTAAAATTGTTAGTTAAATACTAAGTGAACTCAAAGAACTTTCACATATTAAGTTTTATAATAAATAAACCTAAAACGCATTATCTTAACATATTGTAGAATTACATTCTTCTTAAGGTGTGTCCAAACATAGAACAAAACATTCTTTGGATGCACTTGACGCTCTATATTTGGACACACCTTTAGCTTTGATTAAAATTAGATCTAATAACTTTAAAATTTGTTATTCCATACCATAAAAATATTATTTGTCTATTATAAGAAATAATAAGTTGCAATTTAAACATTAAAATAAAAGCAAAAACTAATTATAAAACAAACAAACTTTAAAGTTTGACTTTAAATCATGAAATCAAGCGTTTGAATATTAAAATTTCATGATAAATTTAGCCCAATTATATTAACATATTTAAATTTAATGGCAACTGTATTATGATTACATCCATTGCATCTCTATTCACAACTACCTACTGAAAATGTTATTCTTTTTTACGCATAAAATAAATATTTACGCCATATCTATAATTAATTAATAAATTATGTGATTGGCATCTAATTATACTTATAAGATTAAATGTGTTCATTCAACTAACATTTTGTTTAAAAGTGAAAAAACGATCTTGTATTTAATAAAATGCGCCATCTTGTACAAGAAACACAATATAAAAAAATTAAACTATATAACTAAGCTTTAAAGTTTAATATTAGCTAGCTTTTTTTTCTTTAATAGTTATATTTATGAACGTTTCGAGTTTGACTAGATAAACTTGTTACAAATAGTTTTTTTTATCTTAGTGACTTGTCTCAATTAAAAAATGCACTATTTTTTAATTGTTTAAGTGGCGTCTCTAATTTATTTATAATTAATTATTTGAATAAAGGCTACTTCATTCGTAGTTACCCTATCTATCTCATTAAATAGTAGTAATAAATTTTCCTATACCCTATAACAGTATAAAGATCGCTTCGAAAATTGTTTCATTCTTTTTTCCCTTTTATTTTTTTCATAATACTTGATTGTTCCTACGAAATGTAAATTTACTAACAATTACAGTTTCCTTTTTTTTTCGATTTAGATTAAAATTCAATTAATTAAAATTATCTAAGTCTGACCCAAAAACTCGTAAAAATGAGTTATTTTTTTTATTTATTTGGAAACTCAGGCCAGTAATTAATGCGAAAACGTTGCGTCGTTCCTTCAAATAATTTATCGAGCCAAATTGGTAATCCATCTAAAAGATCACCTTCCAATAGCACATCTTCTTTATCTGAATCTGATGATGATGATTCATCAAAAGCAATAAAAGCAGCTGTTTCTAAATCCTTTTTTTGAATCGAATATAACTTCAATTTTTTTCTTAACTACAAAAAATAAAAATTGATTTTGTTTTTATAATTCAATAATGATAATTAATAATAATAATCTTACACCATGATTTAATTCTGTGTGTTTTGCATGAAACATACAAAAATATTTTCTGTGGCCATTTAAAGCTAAAACAGTTCCAACACAATTTCTAGGATTTTGTATTTTTAATTCTCTTGTATCCATTATTGATAGTTCCAAAAGTTCTTTAAACCAACTTATTCCTCGTTCGATATACATATAAGCAAACATTAATGTTTTATTTCTTAAAAAAACGTATAATAAGAAATTTTAAATTAAATTGTTTAATATTACTTACTTCCTGTATGGCCAAACAGCTTTATGAAACGGTGGAATTAATTGTTGTCTCGATTGCATATCTAAGATGAGTAAAATCGTACGACATCCCGGTTTTAAAAGTCTCACCAAGCCGTGATATTTTTCTGATCGAAGTTCATGAATTTTCAGTTCCGGTTGATAAACGGAAATTGATCCATTTGATACGTTATTGTTTGTTACTGAACTTTTGGTGGCGTTTATTTTTTCTTCTTCGATCCGCACAAAATACGTCATAACGAAACCAATTATAACAATAAAAGCGACTGTTCCCAAAACGGATAAAGCAGGGAGGATTTGTTCTTTGCTTAATCCATCGTATATTGATAACCAAATGGTGCGAATTTTTGAGAACACTCTACCGACGATTCCTTTTGCGTGTTCATCAAATAATTCCTTAAAAAAATATAATTTATAAATTATAATATAAAGTAAAAATAAATTGAAATAAAGTTACTTTTACAAACGCTTCGTAAGTTAAAGCTTCCGTTGAACGTAATAATCGGCTTATCGTGTTTTCTAATTTTTGTGTTGTATCATTCATATTTTCTTCATATTCCCATTTTTCATCGGCCCATTCATATTTTACATGTTGAGTGTCTCTACGCCATAATATTACGATTCTTAGAAGAGGTTCTACTAATTTACCCTCTAAAAAGAAACATAAAAAGAATTTAATTAATATTTTAGATTACCATAGAAGTTGAAATTATAAAAAATATAAACTTAAGAATGGAGAAACAGCTGAGAAATACAAAAGTAGACTGGAGCAGAAAATTCAAATGAAGAGAGAAGTGATGACCAGGTGGAAGTAGAGAAGACAAGTGAAAATTAGTATTTCTAGGAATTATTGGAGAGGACCAACGCTCAAAATGTAAAAAAGAAATACCTAAAAATTGGAAAAAACGCCTAATTTATAAGAAAGGGGACAAAAGTGTAAAAATTATCGAGGTATAACATTATTGAGCACAATTCTGAAAGTATGCATATTTGACCTTTCTGGATTTAGATAAGGCGTTTGATAAGGTGCCTAGAGGGAGAGAGTGTGGTCAGGGCTACGTACGAGAGGGATTGAAGACAAAATAATAAAAGTTATCCAAACCATTTATAATACAATATATTAATTTAATAAAGCGAAATGCACTATCGAAAAACTTTATAACCAGAGAAAGCTTTAATCAAGAAGGAGTTATGAGTTTAAACAATTGAAATGTTCATCAATTTCTACTTTTTCAAAAATATACGAAGAACTAAATTTATCTTTGTACGCTCCTAAAAAAGATCTATGCGATATATGTGAGGCTTATAAAACAGAACAACAAGAATATCTTAATCATTAAAGCAAGAAGCACGCGATGAAAAAGAAAGAGACAAAGCTTCCACTGGTTTAGAAGTGAATGTTTACGCAATGGACTTGCAACCTGTTTTACTAAGTCCTAAATCTAATGTATCGGCCATGTACTATAAAACAAAATTGATTGTGCACAACTTCACTTTGTATAACCTAAAGACTCGGGAAGGTTTTTGCTTTTTGTGGAATGGAAGTGAAGGTAACTTAACATCTAATGAGTTTTCTAGTATATTGTCCTATTTTGTGAAAACACAAGTATCATACCACAATCATTTACGTGAATTAATCTTTTATAGTGACGGCTGTATAAGCCAAAATCGCAATTCTACTTTAGCCAATGGTTTTTTAAATCTAAGTATAACTCACAATATAACAATAACCCAAAAATATTTGTGTAAGGGTCATACACAAATGGAGGTAGACTCTATGCATTCCACCATTGAGCGAAAGATACGAAATTGTAAAATTAATGTTCCAGCTGATTACGTTTATCATTGTACAAAAGCCAGACAAAAACCTGCACCTTATGAAGTGAAATATTTGAATGATATTTTTTTTAAAAAGTTTGATGGTTTAAAGTTTTATAACTTGTTTCGTCCAGGCAGAGCTGTCGGCGATCCCACTGTTACCGACTTAAAAGCACTTCAATATTTAGCTAATGGTGAAATTTTTTTGAAATTAAGACAGTCAGCCATTTTGCAAGTTAAATAGTAGAGTTAACAAAAAAATTGATCCCTGTAAATTTGATGATTGACCGCCTCTATACGTTCAAGGAAAAAAAATAAAAAAAGAAAAATACGATAATCTTCGGAACCTAAAAGCTGAACTTCTACAAGACTATCATAAATTTTATGATGAACTTCCTTACGAATAAGATACTTGTGATTTGCGTATTTAAAAGATGTTCCTATTAATAATGTAGCACTTAAGGAAAAATAATTATAGCAATAAGAACTATTTTTTGTTTTCGACAAAGTTTAATTGAAATCCTTGTTGTATTATTAGTTTGTTCAAAAAATAAACACTGTTAATTTCATTATTTTCTTATTTATATTATTTTTTTTAGCTTGCATATAAGTTTTTTTTTTCAATTTAAAATATATTGTTGGAGATAAATTATAGAATTTTGCTTAAAAAACTTATTAAAAGTATGAACGAAATTCGCGTAACTCCACTTTTTAGAAAAATTAAACAGAAAAACGCGTAACTCCATCTAAAGTACCTGAAATTATTTAAAATTATGAACCATAGTAGATTCTAACGTATAACATTCTCATTTTCAATTGTATCAAAATTCGACAGTCGAAATACAAATATAATTTAAAGAATTCAGTTTTTTCTGCCTCCTGTAAAATTTCCCGAAACGGACTTACGTGGTTTTTTTACTAAGCTGACGATATGCAATTTTCCATTAGTGTTAAAATAAAATAAACTAAGTGATGACATTTCAAATGACATTTTTTGGCGATTTATCTTAGCAACTGTGGTTAGCAACGAAATTGTTTGGACTCAGTATAAGCTCCGCCCACATCTGTGACGTCAGACTTAGGCAGTCTATTGCTGAAACTGTATTTTTTTTGACATTTAAAGCTGTCAACGGCCTTATTTCGGCGCCTACTTTGATTGTAATTAGCTGATTTAAGACTTTCAAAAAACGCATTTTTTTTCTCGATTTTTTTCTTATACAACCATATGATTTGATATGTTCATCGCATAGAGGGACTTATCCTTTATCAAAGTATGCAAAAAAAATATATGGATCCCATTTAAAACAACAATGTTGGTTGCCATAGCAACGAAACAAAAAACAATACAAACAGGCAAATATCGCCAAAAAATGCGCCATGATTAATAAAGTACTTGTATTTGAAACATTTTTCTTTAAATCCATAAATTGCGAAGTTATTGGCTATATTCCAGACATTTGACACACCCTGTATAACAAACTGGAACAACAGCAAGATCTAAGCAACGAATATGAAATTTAGGATTATAAGAAGAATAAAAATATAACAAGAGGAATCACAATTAGAAAGCAAGAAGTCAGAGAAGAACTAGAGGTGGAGATATTTTTTGAAGTATACAGGCTGTTTCTGTAAGTCGTGGCCTAATTTTAATCACAAATACTAAAGTGGAAATAATGACGATTCGTGTATTTTTGATCTAAACCAGCGGTTCTCAAACTTATATCCTTGCGTACCACTAAGGCTATTTTAAAAATCAGGTAGTACCACTGAACAAAAAAGAACAATAATGATAATGCAAATATAACTGTTTTGCGTACCACTTGAGAACTTCTCGCGTACCATCAGTGGTACGCGTACCATAGTTTGAGAACCACTGATCTAAACCCACAAATCGCTCATATCTTGGCCTACAAGGTTAAGAAATTTTCAAACATTTTCTTAAATATTTTCAATGTGGTTTGTCTTAGAAAGACTGAATTTGGCAAACCGTGCAATGTTATCAGAAATCATTTAAGATCTACGACCTATATGTTACAATATTTTCTGATAGAGCTAACAAATACGAATCCATTGATTCTTCGCAAGCATATATTGGCTAATTAGATGTTATGATATTAATTAATAAAAATTCGGGAAAAATGCGGCGGGTGTAAATTTTAAAGGATGCTCTCAAAGATTAATACTCTACAATATATGAAGAGGAGCTTCTGTTACAGTTATTAAATTGTATGGAAATTAATTATAATCATACATAAAATGTCAAAAATTGGTTTTATTTATTATTGTTATTGTTTTATTATTATACCCATAACAAAATCAAGCAATTTCTGACAAATTACATATTATGATTTTGATAAATTCGGTAACACCAAAGACAATAGAATCTAACAGGACTGCTACATCCATTGTTGTTTTGTAACCCACTACGGTTACAAAACAAACGACGTAGAGTGGTTGCCTGCACTCTACGTCACACTATTTGCCACGCCTAGTTAACTGTCAATGAGTTCTATGCGTTTGCTGTGTGTTTTTAGAGGTTATATGATAGACATATGTCAATACAAGATTTACTTTTGAAGTTAATGTGAATACGTCTAGGATATACTACGATATACATTTTCGTTTCTAAAATAAAATAAACTAACAATAAGTGACATTTTTATGACGATTTATCGTTAGCAAAGAAATTGTTTAGAATCGGTATAAGCTCCGCCCATCTCTGTGACGTCAAACTTAGGCAGCCTATTAAATTCTCAATTTGATGGACTAATAACATATGGGATTTAATTTAATTTTCGACCACCTGTATAAAGTTATACAGTAACGATTAAAACGACTAATAAAATTTAGTGAAAAAACTATTTTGTGCCGATTCCGGTGGACCGGAAGTAGCGACCATCTTGAATATATATTAGATTAAAAGATCGAGATGAACATTCCATATAAATAAAAAATCAGAAAAATAGCTGCAATTGAACTAATAAAAACAAAGTGTCACTCACTTTTTGGCGTACACTGTATAATAAATGAATTTAATAATGTTGAAATATTTGTCATTTCATCACCAATAGTTTTCCTAGTGAGATGTAATAATTAACTGGTAATACAGTGAAAGCCACTTGTGAGTAAAACATCAAATTTTACTGTGTTTACCCTAGCATTGCATTGCATATTCAGTTCAGTTCAAAAAAGTTCATAATATTAAATTACCTGGTATTAAAGCATTAACAAACTCAATTTGTTTATCATGATAAATATAAGCAAATCGAACTTTATCAATACTATAAGGAGCATTTTGTGCGTAAAGTCTAAAAGTTTCCCTGTGAACATCATGATTACTTGATGTTGAAGTCACCAAAACAACACAAAGTTTTTTTCTGGGTTTATTCCATTCACATGGACAAAGTGAATCCAACACTTCCTAAAAACAATATTATAATTCTTTGAACTAATCATAATATTACAGGGTGGTTCAATTTTTAATTGGGAAACTTTACTAGGATGTAGTCCTTACCAAAATAACACAAATTTTTTATATAAACATCAAAGTTGAGCCAAAAATTTACATTTTCTTTTTTATTTTGGCTGTAAGTAACCCGTATAATTTGAAACTTTGTACGTATGTATTACTGGTTCAGACCTTATTTTCAACCATACCTTAAACTTCCCCAGCGCCCTCTAAGGGGATGAAATTCACCACCCCCTTGATTTTTTTAAAAGAACTTTTTAACGGTTTGGAATATTAACATAAAAAAATATGGGTTGTAAAGCTAATTCTTTAGTGGTACTTTTTTGTATCTTTAGTATTTTCCTTAAAGTTAATACTTTCCGTGTAATAAAATAAAATATCGTGCCATGTACCGCTATGTGCCGCCATGTTTAGCTAAAATTATTCTAAAAGTTGGTTCTGAGAACTTGTAAGTTTCAATTAAAGTGAATCCTCATAATTGGTGATGATTATTAATAATTTTTGACTGTTATTAAGCAAGAGTATCAATTTTTTAATATTGTTTAAAACAACGTAATTTGTTCAGACAGGCATTAATCTTATTTATGATTTTTGTTATGAAAATCACAATTAATTGGTGTTATTTAGTTAGTACTAGATCCTAGTAAGTGCACAACTTCCATAGCCAGCTATAAAGAAAAATTTTTTTTTAATAATAGCAGCACTTTGCAGTACAATGGTACTATAGCATATTTTATTTTTTTACACTAAAACTATTACCTTTAAGAAAAGACTAAAGAGACAAAAAAGTACCAATAATGAATAAGCTTTACAACCCATATTTTTTTATGTTAATATTCCATGGCGTTAAAAAGTTGTTATAAAAAAATCAAAGGGGTTGTGAATTTCATCCCCTTAGAGGGCGCTAGGGAAGTTTAAGGTAGGGTTGAAAATAAAATATTAACCAGTAGTACATACATACAAAATTTCAAATTCTATGGTTTACTTATACCCGAAATAAAAGATAAAATGTAAATTTTTGGCTCCACTTTGACAGCTCATACCTCAAAAACAAAAGAGTTGCGACCCTATGTTTATATAAAAAACTTATGTTATTTTGGCAAGTACTACATCCTAATAAAGCCTCCCAATTAAAAACTGAACCACCCTGTATATATAATATATATACCTGTGATGATAATCTTGGTAAAGCTAAA